AGACGGCATTAATCAATCTGACCCGGAGCGAGGACAGGCCTTCACTTGCCTGTGGCTTCCTTCTCTGGAAGAGTGCTGGCAGCAGTGTGCAAGCTGGACTTTCCCATGCCACTTTGTGGAAAACCTAGTAAGAGCTAACTTTATGGTCTCAGGTTTCAAGCAATAACCTCTTCCTTCCTCCTGTGATCACCACTCACAGAGGCGGTCTCAGGCACGGTCTTCTGGGAAGAGCAAGGGGAAAGCTCCGGACATGGCGTGTGTTCCCCAAGCCTCCCCACCTCTTGGGTCCAGAACACGGATTTAGAAGCACGGAGGCCTCTTGACCATTCTGCGCCAGCCGAGCCACAAGCTCAGCAGTCCAACTCCAGATCCCCATCAGCCCTGACCCAATTTACTCAGGACATCTCGGGACTAATAATCAGATGACTGTATTTACGCCGGCAAAGTGCCAAGTCCACTAATAAACAAAGAGCAAAAAGGGAGCTCAAGTATTTTTTAACTCTCCCCTGGGAGCAGCAGTGTGGCATGGCCTGAAAACCCCGTTTCTCCTTCCATGTCCAGCCCAGTGAAGTGGGCGGCTGAGAGGCCAGCAGCAGAATTCTAGAAGCAATGTCTCAGAGATGGGCACTACAGCAAAAGGACTGTGCCTCCGGGAAGCAGTCACAGAAACATCGTTTCATGAAAACTTTCCCTGGGTCAAGGAAGGGTTCTACGTTCTTGATAAAGGCCACATGGCACAGGTTAAGAAAAGAAGGACTATTTGCCTTTAAGCACTTCAGCAACTGATTTCCAAGCGTCCAGCACCACAGAGGGATCCGTCAGGGAAAAGCACACTAATTAAAGACACCACCATCTGCCAAATGCAGACACACAATAGCGTGTGCCTGCTTGTGATGCACGGAATGGGGGCGGGGAGAGAGGTTCATCAACGCAGAGCACTCTGCCACAGAGGTGAAAGTTGGGCACTGAAATGGGCCAATCCCAGAAGCAGGTGCCCAAGGGAGAAGCAAGTACCAAGGAACCGCAGTGCCCCACTGGGACACCACTCTGGCCCCGCCTCTCTCGATAAAGCAAAGTTCCACACGAAGGTGGGGATTCACTGCATCCCCCATACATGCATCTTTGCAGTTCAAGGTGTACCCCGCCTCTCCCCCAAGACACAGGAAACGCAAGCCTAAGGTCCCCAGAGCAGTGGCTGGTCTCCCGCTTGGGAAGGTGGTGGTTATCAACATTTTTATTTATGAAAACAAGCTTGAACACGGCATTTGTCTTTTGTCTAAGGGCAGCAGGGCATCAGTCATACATCAATCATCCAGGGATACAAAGAGGTGGCCAAGTGTGTCGGAAGTGGTCACTTGGAAAGGATCACAACCCAGGCAGTGGTGCTTTTCTGCAAACAAGGAAAGAGTTGGCTCCACGGGTCTTGAAGATTTATCCAAGCTTTCCATGGGGTGTCAAGATTTCTGTCCCAACCTCTTAGTTACCATTTACAGCAAGAAAAGCCAGCAAGTGCAAAACTGTTAATTTATTGATTCAATGAAAGTTTTTTTTTGAACAATCCCCAATACATGCAGTTCAGGATTAAGTATCACATTTGTAGCACATTGTTGAGTCTCTACACAGAAGTACTCATCTCATCAGCTGTATAACCCATCACATCACTTTCCCCAGCCTCTACGGCACCTGCTCGTAGTTGTTTCCATGAACACATCCATAGAGCTCAAAAGTATATGTTATTACTGGTTTTCTTGGCCAGATGTTGCACCACCAGCTCCCCTCCCCCACTCCCACCCTGGGGTTAGTTTTTTAAAAGCAGGACATTATGCCATCTTAGATTGATTAAGCTCGCTGACAAACTCTGGCCTCTTGTGTGCTCCTGTGGACCCTGCTTTTGCTTTTGGAAGGGCTTAGATTTCAGTGACCTTAACTCCGCTCCATTATTATCCACCCTTATTTATTGTAGGCGGGAAGTTTGCTTTTTCCTGTGGGTGCTCATGCAGTAACACAGGTTTCTAAACAAATCGTGTGGTCTGAACTGGCATTAAGGGAAACGGCTAAGTGGGCTCTCTTAGAACCATTTCAATGCATATATAAAAATTCTTCCAATTGCTGCTTGTGTTCCCCAAATAGTTTTGCTTCCATCCTTACTACAGCACCTGGGAGAATCTAAGTCATTTCCCTGAGTAGGTGTGGGCTGAGACCCACGGCCGCCAGCTCTCTGGGACTGGGCATCTGCCTCAAGGGCACCACCTTCCAGTCCCGATGGAACCACTCCAGGCATCGTGCCGATCTCAGGACCCAATTCCAGCTCATGAAGGTGGTGCCCCCTCTCTCAAGAAGTCACGCTCCCTCAAGATCTACCCTTTTCTTATTGGTTCCCTTTCTTTTAACCACCTCCTGCCTGAGCCCCCAAGGATTACAAGCTCTTCTGCCTTCTCCAGCCAAGCAGTCTGAGTCCCCTCGTTCTCTGCAAGGGAACACTGTAGCTTTGAGCCTCGTGAGCAGTCATGTGCTAGAGAATGTCTGTTAGAACTGGCGCGGCGGCCGGTGTGTAGGCGCCTGCCTCAGAGAGCCGCCATCGGCTCTGCTGTCATTGGTGAGAAGACCCAGGAATGCTTGGTCTGCACTGTCTGCTTGGCTTCTCCCACCCAGTCCCCTCCCACAGGGACGGGACAGGAGCGGGCAGCTGATACGATCCAGGGGAGAGCGAACTGCAAGCAAGCTGCAGATGAAAAGATCGCTTGGCATGTCATCAGTTCTGCTCTCGCCATGGGGCTTGTCAGCTGAAGCCAAGCCCTGCACTTACGCTCACCTGTGGCCCATCAGCCCTGACAGACCGTCTCTATTTGGCATAGGAACTTTTTGTTCTCACCATACCAGGCCTATGTTGTTGAACACAGGCAGGACCTGAGATGATAGTGTAACACTACCCTGTTCCCCACATTTTTTGCTTTTCTTTAGGAAATAACTAAGTCCTTATCATAGGCACTTTTAACCAGTTATAAGGTAACAAAGCAAACAAAATGGCTAATCAAAAATACTGAGATGAACTTAAATAATCTGCTGACCGAAAAGGGTATTGGGTGGGTAAATATACCACAGCTGAGTCTGAGAGCAGACTCCCACTCACTCCCTCACACACACTCACTCCCTCACACACACTCACTCCCTCACACACACTC